ATTTTTTAGCTCAATTATCAGACAATAAGAATTCTGCAAGACAAATAGAATGTGCTCTTGGTTTTGGATGATTATGTGCAAAATATTTTGGCACATCTAATCACTGCTCTGAGAAATGGAAAATTATTATGGTTCAGCATTATGTATTTCATATTTATACAAAGTCTCACAAGTGTAATAATTCACTGTGAATCACTGGTACTGTTACATGCATATGGATCTAACCTCTAAAGTAGATTATGTAAACAAAATACAATCTATAAAGCCTTCCCCTGAAAAATCTGATGCCAGAAGTGTGGGTAACAAGTATCTGATTTATCATTCAGGAACAATACATTAATATCTATTCTTGAGTATTTGTAAGTGGCCAGCTACGTATGTCTGTCTAACAGTGGCAATTTGCACATTCACAAATGAAATACACATATACATAGATAAATGTTTGTATGCATGTATGTATATATTTGTGAATCTAATAAATGTGTCATTATATATATATATATATGTTATATATATATATTATATATATATATATATATATATATATATATATATATATATATATATATATATATATATATATATATATATTATATATATTATATATTATATATTATATATTATATATATATTATATATATATTATATATTATATATTATATATATATATATATATATATATATATATATATATATATATATATATATATATCCACATACAAACACAAAATAAGTACATAGATGCATGCATGCATACATACACACGCATGCAAGCATATATATAGTATGTATATATGTTTGTACACACACACTACACACACACACACACACACACACACGTGTACATATATACATATGTATGTATGTATGTATGTATGTGTGTCTGTATGTATGTGTGTGTGAGTAATTAAATAACTTTTTTTCAGCATCCAGTAATGAATAATGAATATATGATTCTCTTTCACTATGCTTGCTGTCTGGTTCTCCTAAGTGAAACTAATATGTACGCGTATTACCTGTACGAATGAAATCAATCAACACCAATCTGAAACATTGGGTACAAAGCAAGTGGCACCAATAGTGCAGAATCAACAAAAAACATAGCACCGGTATTTGTGGCATTTTGGAGGGCAGACTGTGTTGTTTTGGCATTCACCTAATATTCCAAAGAGATTTTGGGAAATAAAAAGTTGCAGGGAGCCTATGCTGACCATTTATCACCCAAAAAATATTTTAGTGGATTACTAAACCCCACACTCACAGCAATGTATGTGAATCAGAAAAAAGCCATCGGGTACAATAAAATAATATGCTATTTGAACTTGAAAAAAATAAATGAATAAAAAAAATTTAGAATGAAATATATATGGACATAGACAGATACAGACACACACACAGAGGTATAGCTGGCCAGCTATGAACCACACTGGCCTTCAGAAGATGCAGTTTTTATGGGTTAATATAGGCTGTCGTACTCAAGTGTTATTTAAAGATTTATGTTAAATGGTATCATTTTATAAGTTAGGGAACACTTAAAAAATCCTCCCCTATAAATTGATGTTACTACTTTTCAGCCGTAAGTCATTTCAGCTTACAGGATTGTTAAACCTTAAGATAATGGGATACCAAATTGTGAGGTTAGTAAGAAATTACAACAATAATAATTACACTCTGAACTGTAAACCTTCCACAAACCTTGCAACAAGCGTCCAAGTTTCTTCATCTTGATCATCACAGTAAACACGGAGATTTGCGCAGTCATCTAACTGGCACCAGTACGAAACTCCCTTCTTGTCACGGCCGTAAGGCTGAAGGCGAAGCTCTTTTGCTGATATTAGATTTACTTTATCTTTGAAACTCTTGTACATATCAAACTGAGCTTCCATAAGATTCTGAAAGAAGATACAAGATGGTTTATTAGTATTATTAGAATTAGTAATGCTGAAATGAGAGAGAGATGGGAAATGCGGAGGAAGGGGAAAGAAGGGAGGAAGAAAAGAAGGAAAGGAGGGGAGAGAGAGAGAGGGAGATAGAGAAAATCTCCACTTGTTTATCAATATATTATTGCAAAAGATTAAAAAATAAACAGAAAGAAGAAAGAAAAAGAAGAAAATAAAAAGATAGAAAGAAAAGAAAAGGAAAGAGAGGAAAAGAAACAAAGAAACTGAGAGAAAAACATACTATAAAACTACCCTGACACAATCACTCAATTTTTTGTTTTTGTTTTTTTGCTTTAATTTGTAAAGTACAGAAATTACTCAAAAACAGAACATGAGAGGTCAACTAAAAATAAATGGACATAGGAAATGTATGGATGGGCTGGAGTGATTCATAACACTCACTGATGTGGACTGAAATGAAAGAAATAACAAAGACAGTAACTATGATCACCTCAATTATGAGGTTTTGCTTTATAAAATCATGCTGAAAATTTAAAATAATGGAAGCTAAGCATCAGATTTTGAAATAAACATCTATTCATTATGAATATAAATTTCTAATAGCTGTTTATGATGACATAAAACATTGATCTACCTGAATAGACTTAAATGAAAATAAAAAATCATTTTGTATTATTCTACACAATTTTTAATTACCATTTTAACTTTGATTTGTGAGATGCTTAAATATTCTTCCAATAAACTTTTATTAGCAAATTAAGAAAGTTAATTACATATACTTTCCTTCAGCATTTCATTACAATATGCACAATATGGTGTGTGTGTGTGTGTGTGTGTGTGTGTGGGGAGGGGGGGTTGTGTGTGAGAGAGAGAGAGAGAGAGAGAGAGAGAGAGAGAGAGAGAGAGAGAGAGAGAGAGAGAGAGAGAGAGAGAGAGAGAGAGAGAGAGAGAAGGGTATTTTCATTTATATGAACATAAAAGAAAAATATAAACAAAATGAAAAAAGAATTAAAACTATCAATATATTGCAATACATGCAATTATTTTCTACTGTATCATGAAACACTTCTCTCTTACCTTAAGAACACGAATCTTGCACTCGAGTTTGGCTTTTTTAAAGCCAAACCGTTCAAGTTCCCACCCATCTTGATGAGAGTAGGAGTGAGCAAAACGTTGCAAACCTCGCTCCCAGCGATCAGTTTTTACAGATTTGTTGATACGTCGTAACAGCTGACTTACAGTTTGTCCCAAGATAGGACTGACTGTAAAGTAGGAAAAAAAGTATACTGATATAAGAACATTTCTAAGTATGTATGGGTATTGGTATAATTCTATTTATTATGCTAAACAAACATTCAAAGCAAATATTATACTTCATAAAACATATTTTTCCTAATTAAAACAAGTTAATTTTTCTGAAGAAAATAAGATAAATAAAATATATCTAACATCTAACAAAATCAAAGGCAAGACATAACCTAAAAGGCAATGATACTATAGATGTTGCCAATAAATATAAAACTTATATAAAACCAATTTATGAGACTAATCTGAAAAATAGTACACCATAGGTCAGTGTGAAACATTGTACTATATTGTTCTTTAAAGAAAGAAATCCAGATAACATTACTGTTACTGTATAAACAACAATTTTATACATAGCAGTAATAATGGCCGGTAATAATTATCATCATCATTATATGATGACAATTATGAACTGCTATTGATCGTAACGATAACTTATAATCATAATTATAATTATAATAATAAAAAATAATAATACTTTCTTTCGTAGTATAATTTTTGTTCCTAATGCATTCGTATTACTATGACTATTATATTACAATTCCTACTACTCATATTACTACTACAACAACTACTACTGATGCTGCTATACATTCCTAATACTAAAATATTTGAATTTAGGATTAATACTGACGCTCTTGTAGATAACCAATCTATAATTACTTCAATATAAAACCATACTGACACTTGTTTGGGCTAGGAGTATTCTCATACATTACTATGCTACACTGTTGAATTTTCATTAACAATGGTGTTCCTTACATTTTACAATGCCCACACAATCTCTGAGAGCAAAATGGTCTTTGTATATCAAAATTATCATTTACTATCATGCAAAAATACATAGTGAATTGAGGTATGTAATGAATAAAAAGAATACATTAGTATAAATTGTGATAACTATTCTATTCATTAATGGTTTATAGTAACTATATTTATTTTCACATTTCCTACCAGTATGAGTTATCACTTAATCCCACTTTTATATCTATATATCTATTTCCTCTTTGTCAATATTTTAGTTAGACTTTATAAACTGGCTTTTAGGATGAACTGAACAAGAATTTAACTTTTGACACACTGAAGTACAAACAGCATTTTTTTTAGCTTAAATAATACATGAACTTCTCAAATCTAAAAAAAAATGAATACCAGAGCCAATTTATCCACACAGGTCCAGTTGATGAAAAACAAAAGTGATAAATCCCTTTCCCAGCATCACTAAAACTCCCTCTCAAAAGTATTTGTATAGGATCTAGCACCTGTCACTGGAATAAACAAGAACTACATGATAACAGTCCTTCACTGGGCTCTCCACAGGCAAATGGTAATGCACAATGGCGAAAAGCTAGCGTATTGCATTGCAACTCCTACTTGTGACCGCCCATTCACACTCAACGACATCCGCGGATGCTTTCCCGATCCCAGCAAGCCATTTAGCATCATGTTCGTGAATACCTGCTGGTGTAACAACCCTCATTCAAAGCCGTTCTTGCCATCGTGCAATGCCTGACACTACGCCACTGTCTCTGGGCTTCCCTATTTTAAAAATCCTGTTTCGGGAGGCCTTCGCTGGGGTTAGTTAGTTGAGGCGCACAGAGAGGTTGCTCATATCAACACTGTTTAACAGTCTATTGGCTTACCGTTATCTGTGTCTTCTAATAAAGTTTGAAGCTCGCCTATGTTGGGAAGAGTTAAACCTAACTTCTCCCCAAATTTGTCGATAAATGAACATATTACAGCAAAATCTGCGTGATTTGTACACAAGTCCTCATCATTGTACGCCATTTTCAC